GATGTTGGCGCAGCGGTGTGTCGGCTCCGCTCTGCTCCGCGCGTTCACGTCGGTGTGTGGATGAAATTAACGGTCCACCCCCGGCTCCTCTCTCTCTCCCTCTCTCTCTCTTTCTCTCTCCCTCCTTCTTTTCCTCTTCCTCTTTGCGCTCTGCTCTTCGCCCAGCGGGAGAACAGCCACTCGGCGGTGGGCAGGTCCAGCGTCGAGGAGCGACAGACGCAAAAAACTTCGCCTCGGACAAATTGAATGGATCAGCGAGGGGAGGGCTGCGTGTGATTGGACGGCACCGCGCCACAGGACCCGTCCCCCCTTCGAGCGGATTGGAGGGTTCGGCCGTCAGTGCCGAGGCTTTAGAGTAGGTTGATCCGAACATCTTGACTTAAGAAGCGGTGGGAGGCAAGCGGAGGCCCGTGGAGCAAAGCTGGGCCGTCTAATAGAAGCATGTGGGCCCCTGAAGCTAAAGCTGCAGTTTTTCCAAATCCACTGCAGGTGATTTTATTCTCCCTTCACTTTCCAAATCATTATAAAGGGACATGTCACCGCTATGCTGACGGAGGGGTGGAGTTAAAAGTGTTGAAAGTTTCTTCTCTGTGTCCACAGACTTCAGGCCGTGTCTCGCTTGAACTATTGGCAACACCGCCCCCTACAATTTCCACGTTTCGTCCGTCTCTCGCCGTTTCCAAAATATGTACGAAGGCTCTGAAAACGGCTTCAAACGTATTTGATATTTTATTGTGTTGAAAAAAATCTTTTAAGACAATAACAGCAACGTGATTTAATATAATCATACATGAACCAGGTGACTTTATCCTGAGTGGAAAACCTGTTGGTTACTTTTGTAGTACAACACAAAGTACTAGCTTGTGTATTACTTTCATCTGGAATACACTGGCTTCATTTCTGGATAGTTGGAAGAAGTGAAGAGGCGTCGTTCATCTTTATTTAGTCTATGAAATAAACAAATGAACAAACAGACACAGGTGAAAGAACCGGTTTGGCAGATGTGGTAATAATCTAATGTGATATATAACAGTGAATTATTCACATGAGCCACTTTTCTGCACTGAGGAATATAGATATACTTAACATTTTTTACTTTTACTTTACTGTAATGGATTATGATTATTACTCAGTTTGGGTAAAACCTTTTTGTATTTCCTCCTATGCTACAGACACCGCAGCCGTCCATTCAAAAGGAGAAGTGAGCTCCTGTAAACACGTGAAGCGATGGCCAGGTCTGTCTGCCTTGTAAGGTAAACCGGCTCTCTCCATTCTCTCTCTCTCTCTTTCTCTCTGTTTCTGTCACACACACATTTCACACACACACACACACACACACACACATCCGCAGAGAGCAGGAAAGATGCCGACACGGGATAGCCCTGACAGTCAGAGAAAGTGGAGTGCTCTTCCATATATGGACAAACTTCCAACGATGGATGTTTGGGAAAGTGATGTCACAGACCGGGAGCAGACTGCCAGCTCACTGCCTGGTCGCTGGTTAGAGGCAGCAGAGCAGAGGTGCAGCGAACACAGAGTGACGGCAGCTCTGTGGTGATGAGCAACTTTACCATCCTCTGATAAGACACCATTTACCTTGGGCTCATGTGATAAGTCATTAATGGCCTGATTATAAGACAAGAAATCATTTCACTAAGGCTTTTGTATATAGGCTTCACATTAGACTGTAACTTAAAGGTTCAGTGTGTAAGATTCAGTGACATCTAGTGGAGAAGTTGAATGTTGCAGCTGAATACTGTTCACCTCTGGTAGTTTTTCACCTAAATCGTACACACTGGACCATCAAGATGAATTTTCCACATTTGACCTGAAATGTAAAAGTCAAATGAGATAAGATTAGAAACAGCTGCATGTATTTATAACTACCGACTTGATGGTTTTAACAACCTGGCAACCCAAATATTGTGATTAAAGGATAATTAATAAACCACAAATTACAGCTTATAATCATAAAATGGTTGATGATAGAAGAAACCCAGAAGAAGCTGGCTGCACATTGGTGATGTACTTTTCTTCTGGCTGATAAACCTGCCGTCATTTTAAAAACAAAGTGATTCGTTTAATCTACATTAAAAAACGAATTAGAAAACGACTGGCGAAGTCTCACAAAGCTTATTATACGTGCTATTATTTACATTTCATTATTCAGTCAGTATGTACCTGTACTTAATGTCCGTCCAATCGCTGTGGAGACATTTCAGTTTGGACCGAAGTGGATCATGGGCCAGCTGACCTGACACCATGCTGCTAGCGTGGCTAAAAGGTCTTTTCTCTTTTGTTAGTTTCTGAAGCGTCCGTGATGTAATTTCAAGACGCAGCCTGCAGAATGCGTTGAAACCATAGACTGTATATAAAGAGGTTGAAACCTAAATCAGATCCACACAGAGCAGCAACAGGAGCTCTAATTGGCCGGCCGACAAAAGAGGCTCATCCTCTCAAAGCTGCGACTCATTGCTTATTAAATGCATGAATTAACTCATTATAATCAACCACTGAAATGTGTGTAATTATTCTGGTGACACACTCCAGTCTGCGCAGCTTGATTTGGGTAGACCGGAGAATTTCTCCTTGGTCCAGCTACATGATGTCAACACAATACTATTCAGCAGAATCCCAGAATATCTGGTGAAGAGTCAGTGGTGCGGAGACGTTCAGCTCTGTGTTCTGAGGCCCGCGGGTCATGTGAAGAGCTGGTGCGTCGGCTCGCTCTGGTCTCTGGCAAGTTCCCAAGGTATTCCAGTCATGTTGGGAGGGGAATTCTTAAATAGTCGTCCTTGCTTTTAAAGCTGAGCCATGTATGGGATAGTGCTGAATAACCTTGATAATCCCATTAAATTGTACATGTGTTTGGAGCTGTGGTCGGACAACTCGAGCCAAAACACCATCTGGGCCCAAAGGGAACATACAGTAGACATGGAAGAAGGAATGTGACAACTCAATCTACAAGGAGAGTTTCGCTCTTTTAGAAAATAACGCAGCAGCGTGCAGGGGAACGGCTTCAACTGGAGAATCAGGGGTCAAGTACAGGATCTGATTCATAGCCCCTGAAACTTGTGAAGTACTGCAGCATATTTAAAAACGTGTTTAAAGCTATGAAAAGAAATGAAGCAGCTTTGTGTTGTTATGCACCAAAGGTTTGGAACAAACTCCCACGACATCAGACAAGCTACTGATAGTTTAAGAAACAATTTAAGACTGATTAAGATGATACTGCTTTTAATTAATTAATTAATTTTCAACACCATTGCCTTTATTTCATATCTTTTATTAGTGTTATGCTTTTGCCCTAAGTTTGGTTCAACTTCTAACATGATTTAAATCTGTCAGCTGGGTCTGTAAGTTTAGCAGATAACGTCGGACCACAGCTCTCGATGTGAGAAGCTGATTGAAAGCAGTTTTTTTTTGCCTTTTAAGCGGCTGTAAAGGTTCTTGTGTCCCCTCGGAAACCGATATGATCCATCAGACTAAACCAGTGGAAGTCCTCAAAGGCCCTGAGCTCCTCCCTGTTGAGAATGTGACCTACAATGTGAGGGAGCGCACTCAACCTGCTAACCTTCGCTGAATAAATACAGATAAAAACCTCCATTGTCACGTTCACTAATGAGTGCCAGCCTCCTCTGATGTGACACTTGAGCTCTGTGTGAAATCAAATGTGACTTGATTCCTTCGGGGACTTTGTAAAACTCAACTCGGCATACTTTTTGATTGATGTCAGGATTGTTCCCTGTGAACGGAGCCGACTCTGCATCTGCAGCCTGTAATTAATCATTAAGCCGTGTGCCGCCCAGCAGCCGCACTCTAGTCAGAATGTAAACAACCCCACAGCATACAATATCCCTATTTGAATGTGTCCTGGGGGAGGCATGGGGGTTAAATGAAGGGTGTCTACTTCCTGCAGATAAGTGACAGCCTCACCGAGACGTTCTGAGAAGTCGAGGAAACTATTTTGACAAGAGAGCTGTACAAACAACTCGATAACCCTCAACTACATGTCTGCCTGCCCTCAGATTACCACTCCACCGCCACGAGCTGTTTTCTTTTGTGATCGTTCCTCACTACTGCTGCTTTGTCTGGCGGAGGAGGGCCGTCGTGCAGGTGGAGACAAGCATGGCAGCTCCCTCTAAAACCAATGATGTCATAGACAGTCACGACGCTGTCGGTGAAACTGAGGAGGTGTGGCTGGAAAGTCGTTCGTCCATTTATGGTTGTTCACCTCATCGCAGGTCAACATCTTCTCTGGGTTTGTTTTGTTTTTTGACAGAGAAACTTTTGCCTTTGGTTTAGTTTGACTTTAAAACTGTTATTGATATCAACCTGTTGGACGTGTGAGCTTCATAACAAACAGTTTCCAACAGATTTCGATCAATAACGAGTTCAAAATGAAACATGGGGCATTGAGTTAGTTGATTAATCAATTATTTTAGATTTGAGATATTTAAATTTATTATTTTGTATTATTTTGATTCAGCATTCAGACAGATATCTTGTTAAATGATAACTTGTCCTTGAGAAAAAGGGGCAATTTTCTTTTTTAACAATTTGTTGTTTGAGTTTTTTTTAAATCAGCTTTTCAAAATAAACATCTAGAGACTAACTGACTCAGGCCCTTCTGGAATTTCAGGAAAATGTCTCGTCCGTGTCTGAAAGCAGCTTCCATGTTTATTTAGACCGTCACGGTGCTAACAAAAATCAACTCTTCTCTCATTCAAAGCAAAGATGGCTTTTTGATTTAATCAATAAAATATTTTGCTGCGGTCGACAATGGTTGCTCAGGGTCACGGCCAGATGAGCAGGCTTCGCATTTACTCCACGGGAGAGTTGAGGCTGTGCTGCCATGGCAACTTGGTCGTGGAGCCCCCGAATCTGAAATAAAAATGACTCGTTTTACATTATTTCATTTAGTCTTGTGATAGAAAATTATTTCATCACTCAAACAGTTTTGTGAATCAGCAAATCCTCAGGAAGAAGATGGTGCGTTGTCACTGGAGAACAAATTATTCTTTAATTGCAAGAAAACAAAAGCGAGCTGGCTTGTAATGGTGCCCAGGGGCTGGATAATGAGACAAAAAGAAAATTGGTATGAAAGACAATGAAAGCATCGTTTCAATGCACAGCTTAAACAAATGCTGCTCCTTAGGATTTCTATGGCGACTCAGTCAATTCTTCAGGCACCCTGAAGCAGTCACAGCCGAGAACCTCTTAAAAATGACAATAAGCTAAATCAGATTTACGCTCAGTGTGAAACCGTAGAAATTAAAACGCTGCAAAGCATTTTTGCTCGATAAGAGATTTTTGTAATGATTGGAAATGCTCCAAATCTTGGGAGGAGCTTTCTGCAACAACCAGAATGTGACTGAGAAAAAAACACTAACATGAAAACAAAAGATTAACCATTGCAGTTCACTTAAAATACCATCAACAATATTTACCTTTTGTTTTATATCTCCCATCTTTTAATTTCATCTGTGATTTGACCTTAAGAACAATGACACTCAAATTATTTTGTTCTGAAACAAAAATTAACCACATTGTCTTTTTTTTTTTTTTTTTAGTTGCCTCACGTTTTTCTGCTCAAACGTGTCACATGACAACAAGACACAAAATGAAATCGCTGAGTTGTAAAAACCCATAGAAAACCCACTTCAAATTATGTAATGATTTCTTTCTGGGATGAAAAGAAAATAATTCATATTGTTTTTAATTTCTTTTCTGAGGGTGAGGAGCCTGATTCTCCGTCTCCTGAGCCCTTGTGAGTCCGTTTCAGAGCCGGGCCTTTTCCTCTCTGTGGCCTGGTGTCTTCGGGTGTGACGTCAGTCTCTTCCTCTGATTCTGAGGAGACACGCAGGTTCTCACTCGCGTACGATGCCACAGTCCGGTGCTGCCCGTTCACTCCAGGGCTCCGTCGGCTCTGGGAGTTTCTGTCTACAGCTGCTGAGCTGCTACCTGCCTCTCCACTGTCAGAGCTGTCCAAAACAGGCTCTGTCGCAGCCCTCGCTTCAGTCCTGAGTCCGTCCAATGACTGAGGAGATTCAGCTGGACGTCTGTCCAGCTCAGTCCTCTCACCCCAGTCCTCATTCTCTTGACTGTCGGGGGACATTACTGGGCTTGAGCACACAAAGTCAGAGGGGCTCAGACATTTTTCCTCCTCTCTGTTGCCACCACTTTGGGGCTTGATTTGGAGAGAGTTCTGTACCTCCGACGAGGAAGAAGACAGGTCTTCGATGGAGATTGAAGGGTAACTGCAGGAGTCAATGGCTGAAAACAAAGCCTGTACAGACTCGGGTCGATCCTCCGCTCTGGAGACCACATTCATGCGCCGTCGTCTCATGACATTGCGCCGCCTCACCGCGCTGCGCCGCTCCTCGTCATCACTGCTGGAGCTGGAAGTGGACGTGGAGGAGCTGGAGGCTCCGGCTGGAAGTGAAGGGGAGGAGGCGGGGCTGGACAGCGTGGAGTTGTCCCGGGGGCTGGGGGAGCGAGGCCGGGGCATGGGGTCCAGCCAAAACTCACTTGAGTCTGAGTCTTCATTCACCAGAAAGCCAGACTGTTGCTGCTGATGCCTGGTGCGTCTCCTCGGCTGCTCCTCTTCCTCTGCCGGGACGGGCTCTTCCCCTCCTGAGGCTTCAGGTCCAGCCAAAGAGGAGGACGACGAGTTATCTGAGTCACTTTGGTGACCAGCAGCCGGGGCAGCGATAGGAGGTGTTGGTGTGGCCCTTGTAGTGCGACGTCCACGGGCGTGGAGCTGCATGATGGCCTCCTCACTTAAGTCGCTGTCAGAGTCTGAGCTCCAGCCTTCGATTTCTCGACGCACCAACGAGTCAAAGAACGCCATCATGCGCGGGTCTTCCTGGATGGACTGGCTGACGTAGTCATGGGACAGACCGCTGCCACTGTTGAGCACCAGGCTGATGTACTCCTCATGGGTATAGAGGCTGCGAGATTTGTCCTCCACCCGACCTTCCAGGTCACCAAGACTCTCAGGCTGCTGGTAGGGACTCCACACCTGGAATGGAAAACAATGGGGAGGAATGAGAAGTGGGAGATACAAGGACCAGATTTAAAAGTTGGACGTGTGGGAAAGCAGAATGACAGGATGAAAAATGGACGGAGAAACAATGACAAGCCAGAAAGGAGAGTGGAGAGGGTCAGTTAAAGGACTCTCTGTTATTGAAATTCTGAACACCTGGGCCTGTATCATCTTTCACTCTGTACAGTGAAATGTAGAAAACACACAGCTTGTGTTACTGCACTGACACAAGAGAAGAAGAACTCTGTCATCTTTCTGCCATCAAATACAAACTGACTTCTTCTACTAAATTTCGTTTTTGACAATGTTAATGTTGAATTACATATTCTTCCATTTCCACTAATAAGACAGTAGTGATTTGCGGGACCTTCAGGGACTGTTTCCGTTAATACTGATGGTATTTTATTTAACAATAACAACAAGGCTCCTTCAGACTTTCCACTGTGTCTGTCTGAACTGCCTGAATGTTTGGGGATGGTTACTGATGCGAGTGAAAAATAGTAAAACAGCGTGTGTTACGTTGCTTTTAGCAGTGAGTCAGCTGAAAATTGGTGAGACGTGAACTTTAAATGTTCCCTGGATTATTTATAAGGTCAGGATCAGAACTGTGACTCAGAACTAGTTCTGAATAAGACTTGTAATACAGCGATCCTGCTGTGATGAATCCTAAATTGAACAGTGTAAAATATTAATGTTAGGTTTCCTCTTGTGTCTTTTTTTGCTTGATACTCTTCCACAAGTCAACAGATCAACGACAAAATAAAACATTAATCGAATTAATCTTGAGCTACAGTTAAAGCTTTGGCTTTGATTTACTTGTTGCGTTTGATTCCGGTTAGTTTAACCTGCTGAGACTTTAGAGCGCCTGGCACTGCATCACATCCTGGCTCTGGTTTAGAAAAACTCTCTGTGGAACCATCCCCGTCTCCACATGACCCAGTTTCAGAAAAGTGACCAACATTATCTGTTACAGGCGGCAGCCAGCGGTAGAGGAAATCCATCTTTGTTCATTCCCAGCTCCACGGGGGAAAGTCAGAGCTCGCTCAGTAACTGTGTGGTGTCACTGGAGATCAATGTCTCACTTAAGGGGACATCTAGTGTCTCAACAACAGAGGACACAGCGAACTGAATGTTGGACAGTCTGCTTAAAAAACTATTTCTCTGACCACAGCATCTAAAGTGGAAATCTATCTACTGCTGCGGAACTTTCAGATAAACAACACAACTACATAACACGTTAGAAAAAGGAAAGAGTGAAAAGGCCTCATATACGTCCTTAACTAACCTTGATGACTTTCTCCACACCGGACGAGCAGATCATGTAGGTGTGAGGGTTGAAGCGAACCTGGTTCACGATGGAGCGGTGACCTTTCAGAATCATGAAAGCCCCGTTCACCACACGACCAGGGCCTCCTGAGAAGTACAAACACATTGTAGGGTTTTTTTATTTTTTTTATGTGATACAGGAAGAATAAAAACAAATATAAACTCAGAAATTCAAGAAAGGAAACGCAAACATTCAACCTGTTCATGTGCCTGAGAAACGTGAAAAATACTGCTGGTGAAATTAAACAGTCCTAACAGCAGTAATGTAATCCTCAGAATATGCCATTAGTCTGACACAGAATAGGTCCAGTGAGTGCACATATTTTCAGTGTGAGTAACTCTGGGGAAAATAAAATCCAGAAATGTGTCAGGTGGTGCCACAGAGCTACACACAACCACATTCTTGGATTGCTGCATTCCCCAAAGTAATTAGTACAAATACACTTAATTCTTACTTTCACTGTATTCAACCTTGACTCTTAGTTGGTTTAAGCAGGTGAAATCACTCAAACTGGAGAAACAGTTTAATAAAAAACTATAATTAAGACTTAAAATGGAAAGAATCATGCCTGGAAAATATATTGTGACCAAATGAACTGAGGGCAAACCACAGTCTGGGCTGAGGCTCTTGTGTTAAGAACACAGAGGAGTCTATTATGCTTAAGATTGTGGTTAAAACCTACAGCGACTGAAATCGGGTTTGTTTTGCCTGACGCCACTGAAATCTTTAACCTTGCAGCATGAAAAGGTCACAAGAACTCAAACAAGCTCCTTTTCAGTCACGGGACGTGTGTTGAGCAGCTCCACTGACGATGAACAGAGTGAACTTACACAAACCAAACACATAAAAGAAATCAAGGACATATTCCACTATTCTGCAGAGTAGACACAAGAACATGAACTGTCTGATCTTGGGATCATCTTAGGAACCAGATGATATCTTAAAAAACTTTTGTCATGTGAAGATACAAAAAATGAAGGTGAGTTGTTGTGAGAGTGGAAAAGTTTCTACAGGTTTTAACAAGTGAAAAGTCTTTATCAAGACCACAAATTTAAAACCTATGTCACGAAGGGCAAGAAGGAAAATAAGAACGCATCCCCAAAGGTAAAGATGAGGTGAAGTAGAGAATAAACCAGGTCAATAACTCACCTGCTTCTGGATCCTTTGGGATTCTCCACATGTAGAGGTTGAAGTCATCGGAACCAGACAAGATGTACTGAGGGGTCAAACAGGGATATTTACAGATTTAATTTTCTTTGACAACAGGAAAGGAAATCTTTAAATATATCTCACAGTGGGAGAGATAGATCCTTGGGTTGGAGGTCTTTCCAGATTAGTCAATCGATCAACAGGCTCTTGAAGTGACATGATAATCTGACCCAACACAGTTCCTGCTCCTTGTCTCAACTGCTATTAGACTTCGGGAACAGATGGTTCCACTTAAACCTGTCGCTGACGGCAAGTTTGGAGAGCGCTACGATGGTTGACGTTTACCCTTATGATACACATGTCGTAAAGGGGTTGGAAGAAAAACTACAATTACCACCTCACAGTTGTACGTCTCTGCCAACCAGTGTTTTCTTTACTCTAGAATGATCCTTTATATTCAAAAACTTTACATTTCCGACTGCAGTTTCAGGTCATAAACCACGCCTCCCCCATGTTAGCAGATGGGACATGGGCAAAACGAAACAAAAACTAAAAAACTAAAGCGAACACAAAATATATATTTTCAAAAAATTGTTTGAAAATACATTCACCTGCCTTCTCCTCCTCTGTTCTTTACTTTTGTTCCTGCATATTTCCAGAGTGTTGCTCAGCCTTGTTTGACCATCTGGAGGCATATTTCTGTTAAATCATGTGGATTTGTTTTGAGGCTCTGTCTCGTGGGCTGACATTTTGTCAAGATGTGGAGAATTTTTCTGCCAATGATTTAAACAAATGTCTTCAATTTCCATCTGTAAATATTCTGCTGGTCTCCGTGGCTGCATTTATCTTTCAGAGACTTTTCCACCCCCTTATTCTAAATGGTTTGTGTGAAAAATAGCAGTATGCCTTCATCTAAAAATGTTCTGTGTCGATAAAGAAAATAAAAAAAACATCAAACTGCAGCTCAGTTTAGCTCCGAGACACATGAACACACTCTGATGTTAACACCTGTGTGCTCAGCCTCAGGTTCCCAGAGGACACGTCAAGTAGGAATGTCACACCAAGAACGCCCTCGCTTCTTTCCCTTCTATCAATTTCATCTGATACAAGTTCCCACTCTGCGCTCACACCATTCTGAGAAAATCCTCTCGTAGTTGTGTGTCTGTGTAAAGAGGTTCCTGAGAGGGTTGTGAGAGCAGAGCTGAGGTTTCTGGATGAAGCTCCTTATTAAAGAAATGAAATTATTCTCCTTTTCTTATTTCCTCTGAGCTCTACCACTGTACCTGACACCCTGCATGTACCTATTTGTGTATTAGCATGAAGCTCTTAATGGTTCTTGATTTCAGTTTTTGTTTTAAACTGAACGAGCGGTTTTCAATGGCGCTAAATGTTTCTCACAACCCCTGCACCGAAACTGTAGGCAGTTCTTCACTGCCCATAAATTTATATGCAATATGTTGAGGCAGCAGGAGCAGGTGGTATGAATGAAATTACCACAAGATATGTACAGTAAGTCTATTTAGTATTTTGCGATTCATAATATTTATTGGAAATGTATGTAAAATATGTATTTTTGGCTACAATCATCTCATTGGTACAAAAATAATCATAAAAAACATGAAGTAGTTCAGTTTTTCTGGCTCTCCGCAGCCATGAAGTCTTGAGAAATGTCTCATGCAGCTTTGAGTGAGTCACTAATAATAAATAAACCTATTATTTAATCCAAAACTCATCAGCAGGTCAAGATGTTAAAGAAGAAGTCCATGTTTCACTTCCCTCTGTAACGGACCACACCAGACATCAGTGCTGGGTGTAGTTGGATGTTCCCTGTTTCATCTCTCACCACAACCACCAGTGATGTCACGGCGAACACGCACACACACATGCTACAATGCAGGGTATTGGTTTTTTACACTGCTTGTGCCTGTAATCTGGAATAACATCAGGCTTGGCTCGGTTAGTTTTCTCCCGGGCTCGGTCAGATTCAGACAGAAGATTGCGTCCCGAGCTTAACGCTAACCTCCATCGCTGCAGCACAGGGAGACGTTAACCCACTGGTGACCATCACTATCAAATCTAACCAGTCCATTAACTAATAATTCAAACTGGAGGAGACTGATGAGCAAGTGAGAATCAGAATCCACAACAACAAACCTGTTGCATGACACTAGATGGGGAAATATATTGATTATGGCGACTTGTTTGATCTTGACTTTTTGAGGCAGACCTCGGTTGATTTGAACTGATTATATTTCAAACAAGGTTGCACGAGGGATGATAATTAATATTTGTCATCTAATATAATTGATGCACATGTAAACCTTGTTCTCAAAAGCTCAACGGCGCCTCCACTGGAGCATTTGGCAGAAGGTAAAGAGATTAGAACCAGCAACCTTCTCCTCCAGTCCTGACCTGCTTCTGGATCCTTAAAACCACCTCCTTCACTCCTGCAGGGAGGATCACCTTTAAGCCTCCGTGAGCTCCAACGACACCCGAGGATAATGCTAACATAACAAACATGACTGCGGAGTGATGTCATGTCTGAGGAGGACCACTGGGAATACCACTGGCTGAACATAAGGAATTCTATTATTTATCCACAACTCAACATTCCCAGTGATGTTCTTCTATTTCTGTTCTGTTTATTGATCCCACATGTTCCCAATATTCCTCTTAAATTTACTTTCAAAGTGACCAGACATCAAACATCTCCACTGTCTGACATCATCTCCATACATTTTGCTGTGTCTGCAAAATCACACTCCTGGGAGCAATATTTTAAGAACATCTTGAAAAAAATATCTTGAAAATCTGCTGGCCTGCTTGGATTTTGTGCAACGTAATATTTTATGAACGTGTTATCAAGTTTCAGATTCATTCATCTGACAACCAACCTGATCTTTGTCGCCGGCAAAGCAGCAGCTTTTCATGGTGCAGGAATTGAAGTAGCCCTGGTTGTCGAACTGGAAACTCGGCAGGCGGGAGTGCAACTCGTAGAGGACTGGCGGCAGGCGGCGACGCAGCGCCAGCAGCTGGGTGCCGGTGCTGTTGAAGCGAACGCTCATGGCGCTCTGCAGGGACATGTTGCCTCCATAACGCAGAAGCGAGCTGAGGAAATAGACGAAAAGGAAACATGGGACGTTGGTTAGCCCAATCCTTGTGTGACCACACAGTTGGTGTTGCTTTAAAACTGTGGACGGACGTTAGTCTTCCTTGAAAACATCTCTTCTGAGTATTTGTTCCAATGTTTTACTTTTACTCTGAAGCACTTTTAAAAACAAAATAAATAAATGTCATAACAACGTCATCAGACGTCTGTGACTGCAGCATAGTGCAAGATTAAATAAGTATTTCATCACAAAGGCATTTCATTGAAACGTCTTCATCTGTTTTTAATAGTAATAACAGACATTAACTGACTAACTGTGAACATAAGCTCACAGCAGAGACAGAGCCAACATTGGAGGAAGAGAAATGACTCAGTGCTTACTTTAATTCAAAGTGCCGCCATTCGTGCACTTATAACTTATACCTAAGCAAACCTGAGTAGTGTAAACACACTCGCCCCAGCTCCGTGTTTTCACAGAGTCATTTTATGGTGCACAGATTCGTTGTGTTTTCCTGAGTGGATCCTGCAGTCGGCAGAGGAGCTGCAGGGACGAGTTTAATAGTAGGACAACAACGCCACCCAGTGGGATTAAGCCAGATGAGCAGCGACACAAGAGCAGAGGAGGATGTTTGTTCCTGACAGAGTAAACATGCAAATCAATGATCTTAACTCCATCGAACAGAAAGCGACGGACAGGCCAAAGTCAAAACGAAGAATTTCAACAACAAGGCGACCCAACTTCTTTATCAACACAAAACATACAAATGTTCAAAATGGATCCTCTCATTTTAGAGACATTCAACAAAAATTAACATTTACATAACAGTTAATTATCTTTTTTCAGTTTGGATTAAACAGTTTCTATCTTGCAACCTATCAAATAATATTTCCTTTTTTAACCATTACTTGATTGGATGTTTGCATATTGTGTAATTTGCTTAGTATTGAATAAAACAATTGAAACAAAGAGTGAAAATATATTATGTATAGTTGAAATCTTCCCACATTTCGTCCCATTTCCAGATTTCTAAAGTGAGATAAATAAACAGCATCTTTAAATTTAAACAACCTCTAGTGATTGAATGATTCTTGTCTATTGACTCCCTCAGTGGCTTTTACCATTTTATTATTTTTGATAATACTCCGAGCTGTTCTTGTTTTTATTATGTCTGTGGTTTATTTTACTGCTGCTGTAGCAAACAGTCATTTCCCCACAGGGAACTCTAAAGTTTCATCTTGTCTTTAAAATTGGGTCAAGAGATAAAAGGAGAAAAAAAGTCCAACCTGCGCGGTTTGCGGATGTCCCATAATCCAACTCCCTCCTTGGAGTTGGCAGTGGCGAGCAGCCTCGGCTCCACAGGGTTGAACATCACACTGTGGAAGGCTGAGGGGTAGCTGGCCAGGCAGAACGGCTCTACAGGAAGAGATTAACAATAAACTTATGACAATTACATGATCACTGAGGGCGATGGATGCTTATGATTGTCTGCAGAAAAACACATTTTTCATTATGTAATGTCGAGAATTAGCATTCCAGCTGCAGTGCTTCTCTTAAATACACACAACTGTCAATCTTAATAATATGATAATAAATCCATCTGTAGTTTTGGTCACAACACAATTAATAATATTATGAACCAGGCTCTTCAATGTCACTGCTGGCAAAAACAGAGGGGTGATTGCTACTTGATGTATTATTAGGCCAACCTGGTCACAAGGAAGACATCAAAAATAGAAGGATATGGACGTCATGCAAGATGATCCATCTGCTTTTAAATTCTCACTGGTCCAATCATTACTATACAAACATAATCAGCCCAACAGAGCCACTTAAAACATGCCTGTGCCTGCAAACAGGTTTGAACTTTTCAAGTAATCTGTCCAGTGTGATGATTTATTGATTTTCTTTGTTCTGTTAGGTTTAATTTTTTTGGTTTGGGGCATAACTTCATGATAAATAATCAATTTTATCAATAATTTTCAAAACATAGTTGCAGCCCAGCACCATATAGACTGTAAAAATGATTTCAATTTGATATTTCTGTTTATTCTTGTTTTTTAGAACAGAAATGAGGGCGTGAGGATGAAGTGTATCACTGTTGGAAGTAAAAGTTCTCTGAAATAGTTTGTGTAATTTGGAAAATGCTTTAATTCCTCATGCACTGCAGCTTTAAGCAGAAACATCAACTTTAGCATCATCAGACACTGGACCGTACATCGCTCCTCCACTCACCTCCATGTGGCGGCTCGCGAGTGTCCCAGATAAGAACCCGTCCGTCGTCAGATGAGCTGGCGAACACGTTGTCGTTCACCGGGCTGACGGACAAACTGTACACGGCATCGATGTGCAGGAACACGTTCAGAGTTTCCCGTCTATAGAGGCAACATTCATCAACACGTACACTTTTTAAGGGCTGTTGGTTTCTAGGAATGTTTCGATTCTACAATACTGAACTGTGTTTTGCCCACCTCTCCACATCATGGAGAATCACCTGTTCATCATTTCCTACAAAACAAGCAAACAGAGCGGTTGTGAAGTGAGTGAAGGACAAATGCAACTTTCTAATCGTAGCTTCTTCCTCAGGTGTTTATCAGATAATGTACTGACTTAGTTAAAAAGCAGCTTGACAGTGGACAGCGACTTTATAATTAAGCATCTGCAGCTTTTTGGAGAATGTTCACTTTCCCATCCATAGTTTATACTCAGGACCATCAGGTGCAATGAGCCAATGACACGATTTCCTTATTTCACTGCTCTGAACCTGCAGTTTCTAATGTGTTGTCATTTGCTGTTGCTTTGTTTTTGCAGCATATTCAAGTGTATGCGGTTCTCTCCCTGGCCAAGGACTAAAAAAAATAAGGGGTAAAGTTTTACTTCCTGTTGTGAAAAAGTCAGCAGAGATCAGATGGAGGTTTTCTCACTCTTACCCCCAGAGAAGACCTTATGGTTGCTGCTGTCGAAGGCCAGGCAGAAGATGTTGGACAGATGCTCCCCCTTCAGTTTCACAGGCTTGGCCCGAGCATGAAGGGCTTGCTCCATGTGCCACAGGAGAACCCGGCGGTCGTCTCCTCCTGCAGACGAGCATGAATCCATGAAACAAACTTCACAAGAATAACGAAAGCTTTCAATCAAAGGCTGATGTTCCCTGATGAGTAAATCCTTGGTCAGTTATTAATAGCAAAATGTCGAAACACTCTCCAGCCACTACAACGTGATGATTGGCTGCTGTTCTTTGTTTTGCAACTTGGTGGTTTCCTTAACTGAATTAAAACTGAAGATAGAACTTGTTGTATGCTGAACCGAGGCTGATCTTTTTATGGAGCCGATGTCAAGAACGAAAATTCCAGCCAATATTTATATATATATATAAAAAATTGAAATTGGCAATGATTCCCAAGACAAAGAAATGTATAGTTTAAAGTCAAACACTAACTTAATTAAAAATAACTATAGACAACACAAATACAGAAGAGAATATATGTGTAGAACATAGAATAATAAATATAGAACTTGAGCCCGAGCGTGGGGGGCCACATCTATTTAATTTGAAGTATTTGGGTGAATAATAAGTGAAAAACTGTTAAAATAAGAAAACAGAGGAAAATGTGGCATGTGTTAAGTGAATACTTATGAAAACAACCCCTCCCAGTTTTTGCCAGATGTCTCAACTTGCTGAGTTTTTCTATTTCTGATCACTTCAAGATCTGTGATAGTTTGGGGCTGACACACAAACAAGGGATATTTAGGATCTTCACGAAGCAGTTAATTAAAGTGGATTTTCTGGTTTGCCGTGAATCACTGACTCAGGACACTTCTCAGTCTCCTGCACATGCATTTTACTGTGGAATCCATTGATTCCCTGTATCGTGCAACTCGCTGCCACACAACCCGGAAAGAACAACATTCCCACCGGCTCCATGTTTAACAGTTAAAGTCAAAGGGGATGAGGTCACAAACTTTTGCATATGATGCAATTCTACTGTCTGGTGTTAAAATGGGAAGTAAGAGTGTGGCCATATTTGGATTATGTTTTTTTTTAACAATTCACACTCACATTGAAAATTACCAAAATGTGCAATCCTCAGTTCCTGTGCATCTTTGCATGTGTTCACACTGAGCTTGTGCATGTATCAGAGAGAGAGGGGGGAGGGGGGGGAGGAGTGCATCTGCATGGAGCATGTTTAGCAAAGCTGACATGTTAAATGTAGATAAGCTGCAGATCCACGGTGCTCAGCAGAACCCAAACCTGACAGGGCTGCACCACGAGGCCACATGATTGTTCCCTAAATCCTCTCAGGACACGAATAGCTTTGTGATTTCAGTGGTGGCGCTGGAGGAGCCACGATCAGACGCATCACCGGGGCGATAACCCTGCTGCCCGGCGGGCACGGGGCTCGTGTTGTGGGGCTGACATATGGATCAGGTCTGCCGCTCCTGCTGCACCCCCCACCTCCTCCTCCTCCTCCTCCATGAGCCGTTTGGTTTGACGTTAGCCTGTTAGCACGGAGGGGTGTGGGGGGGGGGAAGCGCTAGGCTAACCTAGCTTAGCCCCGGGGAGGGAGGGAGGGGGGGGAAGCGTTTCAGCTGACTGCCAGGCTAGTTAGCGTTAGCATGCTAGCACATTACAACAGTGTAAGCTAGGGGGTGAGGGAGAGGATTTGTCAACTTACCGGACACCAGCCATTCCCCGCCGTTGTTGGAGAACTCAATGGCGTTGACGCAGCCGAAGTGTCCGAGCATGTCCTTCTTGAAGAGGCTGGTGCAGCCGGACAGCCTGCGCCGCTGGAACTCCTCCTTCAGGAGCGGCTGGCCGGTCAGCTCTCTGCGGGACAGAAAGCCCACCGAGGAGCGCATGCCGCAGCCCCGCAGCTCCTTCATCTCCTCCACGCAGGAAGAAAGAAAGAATAAACGCAGACACACGCACACACCGGAGGAATGGGACGAAACGGGAGGCTCGAGTTCGCGGCCCCGCAGCCTCGACACCTGCTCGTGTTGTGGGGTGGATGTGGCTCTCGGCTGGGTCTACATCATGGACGATCCCCCGCTGTCTGGCTGATGTCGACGCTGTTCCGCACCTCCTCTGATATCGGGTCGGTCCCAGCAGCTTCCTGCTCCGGCGGAGGATCTCTCTCTCTCCCCCTGTCTGTCAGCCAGCTCCACCGGGGAGAACCGACTGTCTGTATATGTAGAGCCGGGCAGTTTGAACAGGAGAGGACCCACTGACAGGAACCTGCATTTACAATTTTAACCCAAAACAATAGTTTAACAAAACGTTGGGTTCATCCTGCCTGGTTTATCTGCAGCGATCTCTGTTGTAATTCCGCGTATTATTACATTTCAACTGGGAAATAATATCGTTTCTGTGGAAATGATTTGGTTTTATACGTGTTTCATAATTTTTTTTTAAATACATGTACTTGGATATTTAAATTTTTGTGCAACTTAATTGTTTAATTCTTCTGCAATTTTAGGGGAAAACACGACAAGTTAATTTGAGGATTTAAGTCACCAAAACTACCAGATTTAGTTGAATCTCCAGATTTTTGCCAAAATTAGTTTCATTATTTTCTATTTTTCTGGTAATGAATGTTAATTTATAACGTCGGCTTGCTTCTGCAGTTACAGGCATTAAGACAAATCTCAATTTGACTTTGTTTGTTTTTATATGCAATACTCGCAAGACAAAAAATGTAAATCTTTAAAATAAATAAAATCCCCTTTAGCCTATAACACTTTCTTCATCCAATTATTAAATAGAAGACTGAATGTAGTAACTAACACATGGAAATAAAAGTACATTTTAGTGTGTATAGTATTTTATTACTCCCAGTTTTGGGATTACAGTGGTAGTCTTTAGGGGAACTTTTCAGTTTCAACAAGCCTTTCTCTGAGACAGACAACATGGGAAAAAAAACATCTATAGAACATTTTTATAGAGAAACAAATGTACACTGAACATGACTGGACTGTATAGTTTGACTGTTGTGTTATAATATCACAATAAACCCATGTCTGAAAGTCAACTGGCCAGAGTGTGATTTTCTCTCCTTCCAATGAACATAAATCATCGCACTGAACTAAGATATTTGGTTGTTGTCGCACCAGAATCAGCACCATGTTAGCCAGCGACATTTATTTACATTGATCTGTCAAAATTAAGCAATTTAGGCACTTATTAAGAAATTGTCAAAGGTTGTGATGAAACTGCTACAGAAAACTTTTTATAAGCAAAATACTGTTTTAGTTTAAACGTCAACTGAAGATTGAGCAAAATCTACTGACAGAACATTTTTCTTCGATGTCAACGTCACATACACGTTCAAGGCCAACCTGACAAAACATTAAACCGAAACCTAACACAGACCAACGAGGCTTCGAGTAAAGTGATATTAAACAGCACTGAGAAGATACAGATGCTTGGTTGACTTTGCATATCCACAATATGCCCCATCACCACTGCTTGTGCTGTCGTTGACCTCAGGTATAGTGTCATATGTGCCTCTGTGAACCAGTCGTGCGGCCCTCAGGTTCCTGGGAGCAGGTCGAACACACTAAAATCTATGATGGACAAACATTTAAAAGTGCTTTACATTAAGGTACCTTCAATACATTCACCTCTACGTCATGAAGTCATCTATAAAACCACGCAGTAGTGATAAAGAGGGAGCTGCAGTGGATGAATAGTCCCTTTGGCAAAAAACATTTGCTTTTAGCGAAAACTATGGAGTGTGATGGAGGAGTGTGGGGCTTGAGGAGGAAGAGTTTTACTACAATATAATTGAGGAAACGATTATTTAATACTGAGAAACTCAGTTTAATTCTAATAAACAAGCGTATGGGAATAATTTGTACTTTCTTGCTGAGAGTTGGATAAAAAGATCAATGCTTTAAAGGTTGTTATCTTCAGTTTAGCACAAAGGTGGGAAGCCTGGCTCAGTTTCTGCATGGACTAAATAAACCAGATATAATACGTTAATTTGTGAACTTTTAAGATGCTAAAAAAATATCTTTTGTTTAATTCAAACAAAATCTTGACTTTAAATCTCGACAAGATGTAATGTATGTGTCCAGACTGTTTCCTGTAAACCCACAGTGAACCCAACTTGTTTTTTCACTCGTGTTTTTCTGTACAAATTTAACAAATATTACGTTTTATTGCGTTAGCTTTGCACGAGAGGGCAGATTTAGTTCCAGGATGGCTTTTTCCCGTTGCTAAGCTAAGCTAGCTGCAGCTTTTTATTCACCATACATACTAGAAAGTTCATCTATCTCATTTTACTCTTGGCAAGAAAGTAAATAAGTGTATTTCCCAAATATTCTTTTATATTTGTATCACCATCTGTTCATTTGTGCAATTAAAGATTTTCTAAAAGTTCACTTTATCTTCTCATATTTTGGACCAAATTTTGGAGCAAGTCTTCAAACCTCAAGCCAGTTCACCAAGAAAATTAAAAAACAGAGGGGATTACGTACAGTGAAAATCACAACTAATCTTCCAAGTGTCAGATTATTATTATCGGAAACGCATTCACACAGTCTATTGCACATTAGACGTCTTCATATAGTGCAGAGGGTCAAAGTTCAGGGGCCATTTATGTTTAGTTCTTCAGGTCAAGACGAGGAATCGACAAGTCTCTGAAGAAGAGCGTCCCACGTTTCTTCATCATGGTTAGAAAACAGGATGCTCGTCACCTCTTCGTTACAAATCCGTTGCTCTTGTCGTTTTTTTATTTATTCTTGATTAATTGTGCTGAGGCCAAGTGCTTGAAACCAACCTCGCCCCCCCAAAAAAATCATGCTCACATCGTACAGTTTGTCGAAGGTTAGAGGTCATTTCTAATTATTATTTAATTATTTAATTAGGCTTTTTTTTCTCAAAAGTCTATAAAACATCAGCAGGATTTTTTCTTTTAAAAAGCAGAGTAAAGAAATATTCCCTCAGCAGCTTTGCCTCGGGACATTTTTTTTTTTACATAAATAGAAAATTAAAAAAACACGCAAAAGATTAAATAATTGGACAAATACAACAGAGGGAAGCAGGAGCTTAAATTAAGACAGCAGAATAGAAGACGTGTGCCGGGGGAGAGTGAGGTGAAGGGGGGTTAAAAACTGTTGGCACCAGGGCGAGGGGAGGGCGGGGGGGGGCTGTCCTCAGTGTCTCTTAGGTGCTAGTACGGGCCTTTCGAGTGTCCAAAGATCCCGATGGGGAAATGTTTGACGTGTGAGGACCACTGTGCCGCCAGCTGGAAAAACTTGACGTCGTTCCACTCGACGCCGTCGATCAGCACTGAGGAAACAAAACACAAAGTATATTTACATTACAAAACTCTTTTTTCCCCTCAGTCAGACGTTTGAGAAGTTGGACAAAACGTGGAACATTTGCTTAGAATAACAATAATTAAATAGTAATAATGATCTTTTAATAATTAACCAAAGACCAGAAAGTTTGCTGGTTGCCATAATTACAGCTTTGGGACTATCTATGAGTAAGTAGCACATTCACACTGATACAAACAGTAATGATCACAGTAAGAAAAATAATAATTGAGATCTTTAACTTGAGATAATTCCAAAGACTAAAGAGAAAAACATCTGGGGTCCCTGTGTGGACAGTTGAGGGGGAACGTTACCTCTCAGCATGGTCTGCTGTTGCTTGGCAGTGCAGATGAGGCGGCTGATGCCCTCGATCACTTGACTCTTCGACTCCACCTCCTTGTCTTTGCTCTTTTTTGGCAGGAACATGACTGAGGGGGGGGGGGCGACAGAGATTCATGCTGTGAGTAACTGAGGATTGAAATGTGATGACGTTTGAGCTTCGGGTGTCATGTTTGGAGCCGGACTGAGAAAAGGACTCGATCTCAGTCCTGTGAATATCCAATGTGCAGATGATGTGAAACTTTTCAAGGTGGATAAGAGAATAACAACAGTGTGAAAATCCTCATGCATGCATCCTCCCACCTGGACAACACAGAGCTTACCCTTCTTATTCTTCTCCTTGGTTACCACTGTCATGGACATGGTGGGCTGGGTGCTCGGCTCAGCGCCTCCCAGTGGCAGCCGGCTGACCTGCAGCGAGCGGAAATTGCACTTCAGAGTATTTTTGGAGGAGGAATCTCGCTTCTCTACATCTTTCTTCCTTTCTGTCGGAGCCACCCAGTAGTCCACCTGAAGCCCCATCAGCTCCGCATGACTGCCAGAGCTACAGAGAGCAGTAGAGTCAATACAGCAAAGCAGTAAAGTCCATACTGTGCAAGTAGTTTTCATTTTGGAATTCTACAAAATGCATTATAAAGCGTTAAAGCAGGTAAATGTGAGGATCTGGGGAGGAAATAGCAACGTGACACAGCAAACACAATGAAAAATAAGATTTTACTTCACTTTTAACACATTTCATAAAGCATTTTATAAATAATCATGATTTGTTCATAATATTTTACCTTCACATGATAAAACGATTATAACAAATGAAATAATTTATTTCTTATTTAATTTAAATAACAATCTGAATCAAGGATTCCAAATACTAATGGAATCATGGGATAGGAAATAATCAAAAAACACATCATGCTACAGAACATATGTCAGGTCGTGTACTTTCAGGACTTTACTGCCATCGTTGTAGTTTTCTTGCATCATGCTGGCTATAGGTTTATTGCTTCAGATTCTAAAAACATTAAAATGAAGTGCTGTGAAAACCTGTAACAATAGGTAACAAGCTCTTTTAACGCCTGGTTTTGCTGAAATGTCTCTTTGTGTTTTACCTGTAAGCACAGAAGCTGGAGTTGACGGACGGAGAGGAGGGCGGGGTGGGCGACGCCTCTTTGAGTGCAGGAGATATTTGTGGAGGTGTGGAGGAGAGCAGCGAGGAGCCCAGAGGTGCTGCATCATCAGAGTCTCCTGAGGAACCAAACGATACAGAGGATCATTCTGGAACTAAAACTGTAACTGTAAGACATTCGTTTTCAATTTAGACCAGTATTTGCACCAACACGAACAGTTTGGATCCTCCCCTCTAACCCCAGATGCATTTTATTTGTATTCTACGATGGCTGACCTGATGCCGCAGACGTCTGCTCCACGATGCCAACTTTCACCATCTGAAGATTTACAAAGGAAGAGAAACATTTATATGAGCTGGACAAAGACTGAACCAAAGCTGGATTTAAAGGGAAAAGGACGAGACTCACCCCAATGAAAGGGATGAATTTCTGACACGAGTCCTCATCAGGGCTGTGGAGAGGCAGTGAAAAGACGCAACAACGAGAAGAACATTTTATTTGCCTTGTTTGAATGACAAATCTGATAGAGAGTAAAAGAACTTAAAACCATTCTGTGAAAATTAAAAGATGAGAATTGAAAAGAAATGGCATCTAGGGTTAATAACACTAAGATCAGTTCAACTTGTGAGTGTAGACTGCTGCTGATTTCCAGTGCATCGCATCTGGAAATACTGCGGTTTCCCATTGCATGTAAAGTATGCAAACACAATCAACAGAGCATGCTGCACTCAAACAGATCCACGCTCCCGACTGCAGGCCCCTGATTGTAGCTGGAGAAGCAGAGAGAAAACATGCAAACTGTCGGCCTCCGACAAAAAACGTCCAATCGCTGCAGAGACGGAGCAGATCTCCCAGAGTAAAGTCAGCGGGGGGCATTCAGGAGGCAGCAAGTCCGGGAGGAAGAAGGAAGAGCATCAACCTACATTTAAAACCTCACATGCACTACCTGGGATAGGTAGTGCATGCACGCTTACAAGCCTTCTACACTATGAACTATTTTCCCGGCCGTGACCAGAAAAATAGCCAGAATGGAGTTGTTTCTGTACTTCTATGTTTGACATGACGTGAAAGGTTGTTGCTCTTGCCTTGAAGAAACCTGCCATCGCCCCCCCAGGGAAGAAACAGAGAGACTACAGGAGGAGGGGAGAGAAGAGAGAAGACAGTCCAGGAATCAGTTTGTTTTCCAACACAACATCAGCCTCAGCGCAGCCACAGAGAAGAAGCCAGATGTCTGCCTGCTGTGCCAGCGATCTGCGTTCATCGCGCTCGGCAAAGATGGAGTTTGACAGAACACGTGATTTCTGCCCATTGTATTTATCTAAGATGCACATGCACGTCAATCCATGTCGGGGGAATCAAACTACAGACATTACACATGCACTTTTCAGAAAACAGGTCAGGGCCAGTGTTCGTAAAACTGCTAGAAGTTATAGTTTGGTCTTTAATCTTGATAAAAAAACTGAATTTCCAAGGGAATAAATTATGGATCTTGATGAGACAAACATTTATTTAGATATTTAGAGGACTGATATCTATGATTGTGTGAATTCGGTGGAGCTTTTTAGATTTTTTTGTCAAACAAGAATAACATTTATTTAGTTTGAAGTCACTTTCCAAATGTCTTGTCACCAGTTTTACTATATTTCTTTGATTATATCATTTTATTGTCTATAGCAGAGAATATACCCTCCTTTTCTCCAGTTTGGTTTCTATATATCATCTAATAAATAAGATTGATAAAGGTCAGTTTCATCAGTTATGAACACTTTGCTGTATTAAATAGGTGGAATCTCTTGATACATGTGATTTATTCATCCTATTTATCAAAAACCTTTTTTCCTACATGTGAATTATTGATGATCTTTTATAAATAAGTGACAATGCTTCCCTGTATGTGACGCTCAGCTCTGCTACACGCCCAGTAATATAAGCTTCATTTAAACATAAAAGAGGAGAAGATGAACATGAAGAGATTCATTTTTTAAACAGGCCGAAGAAGAGGCAGACATTACAGTGAATCATATGTTTGATGTTCGTATTAGACTAGATTAAACCCAACATATAACTTTAATAACTTCACTACAGAGGATAAAGTTATTCGCACTGTGACGTTGTTGTTTTAGTGACAACGTGCAGGCATCTTACATCTAACCGGACAGAGGACAGACAGACATGATGGCCAGAAGCACATGATGATGCAGAGGACAGAGCAGAGAGGACGAAACAAACATCTCCAGAGGAGGGAGGACAGACGTGATTGGTTTTTGGTCTCCTGCCACTTTATCAGCATATTTTCAGAATAATTTATCTTTTGAATAATAACAGGAGAGAAAAAATATTTAGAAACTGTCACAGATGTTGCATTGAGACTATCGCACAAGTCCTTATAGGAATAGTACATTTTGACATTTTAGAAAACTCACTTAACCTTTAAGACTCGAAACAGGGAAAGAATCCAGGACATAATCCGAACTAAAACAAGTGTATGGAGGATTATGACGCAGATAACTTGAGGTTACTTCCAGGTTTTGTACAGATTAAACAGACATATGGATATACAACATGTTAATCAGTGGGTATACCTTTGTACTCCCCCTGTTTCCAGTCTTCATGTCAAGGTAAAATAACTGGCACTGATGTTCTCACCTCAAGTCTGAAGCGAACAAATACTTTCTCCAAAATGCTGAACTATTCCTTCAAGAAGGAAATTTCAATATTGAGCACTTGTATTTTTGACTCTATAACATGATATTGTGACTGATTCGTAATCGATAGCTCCCAACAAAGTTTAACGAGGAGTTTAACGTCACGAGTTCAGCTTTTGTTTGGATGAAGTTTGTATTTTCCTGCAAACCATATTGAGAGAAAAATGAAAACGTCTTGTCTCTATTGCATCATCTCATAAAACCTCTCAATAAAAACTTGGCCCGGTGCAGCTTTTTAATTAGTTCAAGAACCGTGTCCTCTGGTCTGAGGTCTGAACGGCAGATACACATCTTTTATAGAGAGGCTGTTAACGGCAAAAACAAAAAACCCTTTGTAAGCAGCTGGTAAAGTGGCAAGCTCCAGGAGACTGGGAGGGTTGGAGAGGAAACGGCATGAAATCATCGGGCTACATGAGAGACAAACTCAATCGACCACAATACCTTACTGCAAAATCAAAATGAAAGCTCTTTTTCCTTCAAAGAAAGAAAAGAAAACATAAAACAAAAAGGTCAAACGAGTTATTCACACACGTGGTGATGCAGAGACGCTGATGTTTAGACAGACTGCACCACGTCACACCACAACACCTCCACACAAACATATTCAAACTTTGACCTGTTCTTCAAGAGGGGATATAAAACAAGTAAATGGACGACAGAACTCGCAGTATTTGTACATGTAATATTAGAGGTGAACGTATTTATCATTCCCTCATTCTATCTTGTTTCCTTCATTCATACAAAACCATGTTAAAGTGTCAAAACCACATTTTAAACTTTAATTAGTCCGTCTAGCTCTTTTCTCCTATTTCTAATCTTTGTGCTGTAAAATCTTTGTTCTTAATATCTCGAATATCTATAAATATCTCGAGTACTGCCATTAATACTCTTTAGTGGAGGTGTATTGAGTTCACTGCACGGCTGTATACCTCCATGTTTTTTGTACCATTATAAAATAGCAAAACTTATTTACTTTGCTTTTGTTGCAAATTTGCACGAATAAGTAAATAATGTCCCGAACCGTTTGAAATGCATTTTGAAAAGGCAGCGAACACAGCAGGAGGAGTTCATCTCTTACACACAAGTTCAATCCCCTTGTGAAAAACGATCTCTGAAACAGATCTGCATTCGAAGCATTTGTAAGAGGAAACCTTCTAAACACAAACACATCTCAGGTCTCTGCAGAATAACGTGAGGACATGTACCTCTTCTGTTTGTAGGTGAGCATGGCCTCTGCGATGGGAAGCTGGTGAGCTCCGTTAGCTCCCACCATGTACTGAGTGACCCTCGAGACCACGTCTGGACTCTCCTGGGCTGCACGGGACACACGGATTAACACTGACAGTATATAACCTTATGTATTAAAAATGCAAGATGTATTTCCTCTAACTCTGCAGCAAACGTGACCAGTTATCATTGTTGTGAATGTTCTCTATGCACAAAACAGTGTTCTGTAGTTTAAAAGTCAATAAGAGAAAAGAGCCCACCAACAACAGGAGCTTCTGGCCTGAGGAACAGGTCCCTCCAGGCAGCGTCCTGGAACAAACTGTTGTATCGATAGTCAATAGTGCCGAGATATTTTGAGACTGGATGTGCACCTAAAGGAAATTAAACAACATGCAGTCAGTCTGTATAAGGATCGGGAATATTTTCTACTTCCTATATATTCCTCATCCACTTCTAAATACTTCCAAAATGACATAACTAACAAAAAAAACACTCCAACGTTAGTGTTGGCCTGTCACTGACCTAAAGGGATGATGAGGAACCTCATGTATCCGAGCCAGTCAGGGGTCTTATGGGAAAGATGGTCCACAAAAAGCCTCAGGACTGCACTGAGGTAGTGCTGCGCTCCGGCCACGGCTATCTTTATGGGGATGGGCGTCTGGGAGTTACAGTTACAACTAAAAAATAAAAATAAGATTCACAAAAGTTACAGCCACAAATGAAATGTTCTTATCAACCATCATTCACTCAGACTCACAATCTCTGTATGCGGGAGACGATGGTGTTGAACGCAGCCTGGATGTCTGCGGTGGTGCAGGTGCACACCACGGGTAGATGGTGGTTTTGAAGCATGTCTGAAAGATACTGGGAGGAGAAGAGGCGACGAATGAGTGAAACTGAAGAGTGTTTGATTTGATCACAAACATGATGGTGAAAAAGGAAGTTATTGCTTTAACCATCTGCTATCTGTTATATTTCATAAACCTCATAATCTTTTTTTTATTATATGGGACTGAAAGGTCATTATACAATATAGATAATAAACTTATTCAAGTATAAATAAAGTGAAATGGTTGTTTGATGTTGTTTGATGTTACCTGGCCCTGCCAGTCCGACGTGTTGATGAGGATGATGCTGTCAGGGAGGTGGTTATCAGACACCAGGATGTGGTTCAGTTGGTCGTAAACTGTCTTTCTTGGGATCTTAGGAGGAAAAAATACCCAAACACATAATCCTCACTTTAGTCTCCGGATGTAAAATGTTGATGTTTTACCAGTGAGCAGGAGATGAAGCATCTAAACATCATGCGTCAGTGAGGCCCAGCCACTGACCTCAGAGTGTCTGTGGTTGGGAGCGCTCCCTTCATACCTGTAGGTGGCAGCGTGTGTCCAGGGACCGCTCGTTGTCCAGGCTGTTGGCCCTCTCGTTCAGTGGCCTGCTGGGCTGACGCTCCTTCAGCGACGTGCTCCTGCCTCGTCTGCCGGCCAACTTCGGCTCCTGCCTGACAACGGACAACACACACTCACTATCCTTCTCCTTTAAAAACTCTGTTCACCATCATTTTAAAACAGCCAGCTGTTATTTTCATGCTTTACACTCATATCAGCTTTAAAAGGAAGTGATTTCAGGATTTGCTTCTCACCTGTTGGACGAAATGATAAGAGACTCTGTCTTGGTCATCTTGCCACTCGGCGGCAGTCTCTCTAGAAATGTGTCCATGTTGTCCATCTCCAGCTCCGTGGTGGGAGTCACCGCCTCCGGCTGCTCCTGAGGGAAAACCTCAAATATGAGTTGAGAGCTAACAGATGTGTTCATGTGTTTTTAATTTCAAAACAACAAACTGAACTTTTACACAACTAAAATGTTTCGACGGGACATGAGCTGTTTTTCATCACGTTGTTATATCTGCAGCTGTACAGATTATACAGTTGTGCGGAGCGGAACAAAGCAAATGTGCAGTTTCTAGTTCTCGATTGTCGTTTTCTTTAAAACATTGACCTTCATATTAGCACTGGTGTTATTGAAGTAACTTATGAAGCAGCTCTGAGGGTTTATACTCACAAAGGAGACGTTATCGGACACACTATCATCTGGAAACTTGCCTCCGCCGCACTTGGTTTTATCTGGGTCAATCTGGAACGAGAGATTTTGCAGGAATAATAAACATTACCTGGTTTTGATGGAATCCTGGGAGTTTTTATTTCACACAGATTAAAGCGTGAAGGATTCTGGGTTCAACAGAACAGAAGTCCTAGAGTTTCATAAACAAGCTGCTGATCACATGACTGAGTAAACTTAACTTAAACTTAGCCTGAGCAGGACAATTAAACACCTTCCTGCTCCAGAGGCTCATCGGAGGTTACACTGGTCTGACTCCAGCTGTTTCACAGTGGTGTTGAAATGCTGAAGGCAAACGGATCATGGTATTTAGAAGTGTGCGTCGGAGGGACTCTGGTCTCACCGGGCTCGGAGGCTCCCTGTGGCTCCGGCTGCTGTGGATGCTGCCGATCTCAGTTTGAGAGCTGGAGAGGGAGAGACCCTCGAAGTACGGCCTGAGAGAGAAAACAAGCACGTCTGGTTTACTGACAGATACGAGGAGTCCTCTGTGGATCAAATGTTTTCTGGACATTCTTTGCTTTTATTGACGGGACAGATTAAGCGTGTGAAAGAGGGACAGTGGGGAGGACGCAAAGGAATCTGCTGTATGTGGCCTAAGAGACGCTCACTGTAGTACATGAGAACAGTACCGCTAAATCTTTATCTTGAACCTTTAGCTGGTTAAAATAAACCGTCCCTCTCAAGCTGCTTTTTACTCAGTAAAGTTAATTCACCAGTCGAGATGAGGCCTCGGTTGGTTAATGTCGTCTGCTGCTCTGGAGCTGCTCTCTAAAGTGGGAGGATATTACTCGGGGGACGTTACAACTCGAGCTTGGGAGAAAGCCAGCGTTAGAAACCGGAGATGTGGAGTCTGACATGAAACAAAGAACTGCATGATGGGAAGCGAAGGATCCTGCGTGTTTAGAACTTAAACTATACACAAGCATGAATGTCAGGATATATTGCTGCCTATAGTGTGTTGATATCATCATTCTTTGTATTTGAAAGTTTACAGAAGTCAATGTGAAATGACTGAAGCACTGTTAAATTCATCTGTCGGTGTTTGGATGTTTTGATGTATTCAACACGAAAACTTTGTGCCACCCACTTGAGTTTGGGTTTGGGCGTACTGAGGACGCTGTCGTCATCATCCAGCTCTGGGCCGCTGTCACTGGGGTTCTCAAACTCCACGCTGTCCAAGTCCAGGTCCAGGTCCTCCTCCACCTCAGGAGGCGGCTCTGCAGGGTCCTGCTCCGAGTCCAGCACCTTCACACACACATGCAGAGGAATCACATCTTTAGTGGAGGCACAAAGGAAGACTTGACTCCCAGTAGACGTAGCGGCATCTGGAGAAAACACCCACCTCATCTGAAACTCTGAACCGCTTCAGAAGAGCCACCACTCGCTGCTTAAAGTTCTGCTGCTAAAACACAGGAGAATAAACACACAAGCACAAGTCAGAGTGTGACCTAGTTCTGATTCCTCACGGAGAGAAAACAGCTGCAGCTCCTGCACTGCACTGATCTCACCGGCACCAGACACATTTGCAGCGTCGGCTGCGGATCGATTTTACCGTGTGTGTGTTCATGTAAATCAATAATCACACATCATCATGCTTCATCTGCTTTCTGGGGCCTTGTCACTTCCTGCTTCTGCTCACATGATAACGCCGTCTCATCCCCAAGCAAAAAAACCCACTGAAGCTGAGTCTCACTGCAGCTCATTAAAAGGTGTTTAATACACCGCGTTAGCATTCAACCACCTGCTAATGAGTCCCATAAAAGATGGACTCACTGAGGGGTAACCAGGAAAAACTGGTGCGAAGCGTCTGGACCTGATATTAGATTCTTCTGTTATAACCACAGACCTGTAGATATTCAAAAAACCTGTTTAAGTTTTCTGTAACTGGCTGTTACCTTCTCAAGATCAGTGTCTTTAAACACTTATTTCAAACTATAGGTAACAGATTGATGTGTTCTCTTTCCTCTACCTTGCATATCACAATAGAGTGTTTACATTCAAATAAATGCTCTGCTATGTTTTCTCTGGGGTTAGAACGTGAGCCAGAGCAGCCACAAGGTCACGATCTTTACGAATGATGATGATTCAAGAGAAGAAGCTCTGAAGCTGTTCTGTCGGTTTACGTTGTTGTCACTCGTGTGTGTGACGTTTCTCCTGCACCAGCTGACAGAATAACTGGATTCACTTCCTTTAAACCCAGCGTGGTTCTTACTCTGGTGATGGAGGGCGTCCTCACAATCGACCTCCTTTGCTTCTTTGGCTTCCTCACATCGTACTCATCGTCCTCCAGATCCTGAAAACACAAAGTTACAATCAGTCTCGATGAAAACACCTCCTGCTACATTATTAACTCTTCTACGTCCTTAAGTTGCCCTCAGCACATGATGCAGAGCAAGTACAGCTGTTCCATTCCAACCTCAGCGTTATCGTGAACCACGGAGCAGGATGACGCCAAGGAGCGTTTTGTCTCATGACTCCCAGTCGGACTCACCTGTGCCTGCACGGCGTCGTCGCTGGCCTCCTGCTCCGAGGAGAAGCTCTCGTACTCCTCCTCCGAGTAGTTATCTGAAGCAGAAGAAGTCAGGTGATTAAATGCTGGAGTGTAGAAGATGTCTCATGAATATTTCAGCCACCCCCTTTTTAAATTTGACACGCAGCCAGGTTCTAAAAATACACGACGTGCAGGACGACTTCATTTTATTGCTTTTCTGCATGAGAACAGAGGGAAAAAAAACCCCGTCCTGAACCCTGTGATCCCTCCTCTGTTCCAGCTCTTGAGAATATTAGGTGATTATGACGGCCCTGTGCTGTTTGAACCTCAGACCAGCGGGGGTAATGAGAGTGTACCGGAGCATTTGATCTTCTGTCCGTCCTGCAGGGCCGCCTCCTCGTGGTCAATCGGCTGACTGGACAGAGAAAAGATCCAGATCTCCGCCACCTTCCCCAGCATGTCTTTCTGGTTGCTGCAGAGAGGCAGGACCTGGCCTCCCTCGGTCGGATGCTGCATCACCTGGGAGAGGAGGAAAATGGGTGATGAATGATTCACTGCTTCATCTGCGCTCACTCTCAGATTCTTCAGACAATATAGACAGAGACTGCAGCAGCGTGTACCTCGGCCATGTCGATAGATCCCACCGCCAGAGTCTTGTAGCCCAAGATGGTTCGGTTCTTGTACCTCTTCCGCCGCTGCAGCATGATCTGCAGCTTGTTTCCTTCTCGTTTTAAGAAGTGCGGGTACTGGACGTGGAGGAAAAAGAAGATATACAAATGATTCTTTATTTTAATTATTTTTTCAGTTAATCATGAAAAGACCAAGTGATAATAATATGTCTCCCACACATTCTTAATTAAAATAGCACAGTACGAACCATTAAACAATGAGCTGCAAGCTTTTAATTCATCGAGTGTTGATTATCAACAAACAGCTTCCTGGAGATTTGTCTCGTACCTGTAGTGAGAAGGTGAGAGCCAGATCTGTCTCCACTGAGCCACTGGGGGGCAGCACTATCTCATGGGACCTCAGAATCCTTTTGGAGCCCTGTAAATAAAATAAACACGTAAATAAAGGTTTGAGTTGAATTCGGTTTGCAGCGAAGGTGCAGGACATGCATTATTCAACAGGATTCAGCTCATTATAAAACACAAGCTACCCTTTCCACAGTATTTACAGTGTGTTATAATATACACAATGCAAACCCCCAAAAATATTTTGCAGTATTTTTGTATTTTCCTTTTGGGAACGAAACAAACACTCCAGACACGACTGTCTCCATCATGGAGGCGTGAAGATGGAACGAGATGCGATGTTGTGTTTACTGGAATATAAAAAATATAACTCAAGTCTGTGCACGTTTATATCTAAACCATATAAGGGAAGGTACAGCGGCCATGAAGTGCAAATCACAAAACACATCAACAAATTAGAAAACATTCACTTCTAACAGGGTTCATCATCACAGAACATTGAATATAAATAACAACAAAATGTGATTTGAAACATGAGCAGTGAATCAGTATTTTTCTCTCCTTCAATGACTGAGGAAGGTGAACTTGTCTGTCCTTACTTTACTTTACTGCAGGACAGGGGGACACACTGAATGTGTGTGTGTGTGTGTGTGTGTGTGTGCAAACAAACGTACCTGGATTTTAACGGCTATGACCACAGAGATCAGCTCTTTATCAAGTTCCCTCATCACGACCAGCTTCTTCAGAGTCAGACTGCACAGCCTGCATCATTCAAAAAAAGGCAGAACAGGTTTTTATTAAACAGTTAAATGTAAACTGTTTACAAATCAGCAAAACATTTGAGGTTTGGCAGGAAACACGTCGGACCGGATGCACCAGAGCGGCTTCAGTCTGTCCGGGTGTGCTCCTGACATGTTGCATTCACAACAATGTGACGCCATGACCTTTGACCTTTGACCTTTGACATCTAATCAGTTCATCTTTGAGTCCAAGAAGACATTTCCTACAGGCAGATCTGAGATATGTTCAAGAGGCCGTAAAAAACATGATCTGTGAGGCTGACGTGACCTTTGACCAGTAAAATTCAATCAGTTGATTTGTGAGTGTAAGTGAACATTTGAACACATTTCCCTGAAGGTTTTCCTGAAAATGAATAATTATCAATATGCAAATTTAAAGAAAAAACCCGGATTTTATTTCGACTTTAATCTCGAGATTTAAACTTTACAAGACGAATTCATATCTCATTCTGACTGTACCTGACATTCTTGTCAACACTTTATTCTACGAAAAGTTACATTTATTTTTCTGCCCATGTCCCATTAAGGACTCCATAGTAGGAAAAACTCTTCCTGTCCTTGTGTTCTTCCTCATGCCTGATCACATTCATCTCCGGTGCTGTTATCAATCAGCAAGAGGAGAAAAAAACAAAAAAAACCTCACCTAAAAAAAAACTAAAAAATTCCCACACTGGTCCGTCAAGTGGATGTGAAGCGAGGTTGTCGCGGCACACTGAACTAATTCCTGCCACTGCTGAGGCCGGATGGTGCCGGGGCAGCCGGGGGTGGCGTCGTTAGGGATTCTGGGTAGCACAGGCGAGGAGGGGCGGGAAGGGAGGGGGGGGAAGGGAGGGGGGGAGTTTAACAAGCCTGTCACGTTTTTTTCACACACTTTGAAAAAGAAGGAACTTTCTCTTTTCATGCATTCTCCAGTTCCTTTCATTAAATCATTCAGGAGAGCTGCTCCGGACAAACTGGCTGCTCACAATCTGGAGGCCGGCCATTTATCATCCTGGGAAATGAACACGACGGAGCTGCTGGTTAGAATGACATCACTCCTGAATTATTCTGGGCATTGAATGTCGTCCGGCAGCAGTGTTCAGGTTCATTGTCACGCGGGCTGGAAAAGATGCGGGTCAAAACTGCCGTGAGTGCCACAGGAGAGTGAAGTGTGCAGAGTGGAGGTGACACCAATACGCCTAATTCCCTCTGTCGCTCAGAGTGAAGAGGGGTCGACCTTGGAGGAAGACTTACCCCTCTCAGATTCTCCTATTTTCAGAACAGGAGGTAAAACACTGACGGGGAAGGTGAAACAAAAGAAAACAGTCGAGGGCTTTCAAAAACCCACCCAGTTAGCTGAGTGACAGACGCAGCAGAGGGGAATCAATCAGCCTCGACTGTAAGGAAAACACTGAGATGACAATGGCAGGTTTCAAGAGGCCTCGACCGGCTGAATGACGACCTTTCACTTCTGCGGGCCGAGACGCGACCCAAGAAATTCCAGGCACAATGGACACAAGCCAGTGAAGGCGCACATTGTCTCCAGCGCTGCATTCGCACTCGCACAATACGCAGCATTCTCCTGCTTTGTATTCTGCTTCGTTTCCATCGGCTCCAGGCCCACAGCACCATCCATGCCAGTTATGTTATAGGTGGAGAGACATTGGTTTGCGGAGGTGGAAATTAAATCTGCCTCCGTGCCGCTGAGATAAAAAGTCACATTTAGCTTTGGGGATTTTTTAGATTTGACATTTCATTTTCTTTTATCCCCAAACAATGGGTTTGGTTTGCTCGAGGAGCTAATCTGCTGAAAAGAGCTGCACAAAGTCCTGTTTCTGATGCAACAGCACTTCATTTGTAAGCGGATCTGCGTTTCTGACCCATTTCTCTTTAGTAAGTGACCTAAAACTCAACATGGGACATTTCCTCTTTTACAGGTTAATTGTTCTGACATCTGTGATTTATTTATTTTTTTCCAACCAAAAGCAGTAGATTTTCTCCAAAAAGCATTTTAGCTTCCAGAGACTTTACATCAGCCTCTAGTGAACCAGGCTGCAAAGACTCAGTCTCAACTATCGATCGTCTGGTTGGTGGACGACTCACAGCCGTCCACTGTGGGCTTTGTGTTTTGCAAACTTGAAAACAGAGCGACTGAACAAGAAAGTTCAGGGGGACATATAATATTTCTAGATAAATGCTCCTATAAATGCTAATTCTGCGATAAGAGACAATGACAAAGCAAAACAAATCCATCACTTGATCCTGACTGGTTACAGCAAAACTCTGTGTTCAGAATAAAAGCTGGAGAACATGAACAAATGAAGACTGGATAATAAAGTCATATTCTGTCATGTGCAAAGTTCAGGAAGAAATCCTGAGTCGATTTGTTCGGGTGAGAGAAACAAACCGACCCACGGCTCAGTGTGACATCAAATCAGCCTCTAATTCTCAGTTCACTCTGTTACTGGATCAAATTGAGTTCGGCACAAACCAACCTCTGAAAGGTTAATAGCTCCGTTCCTGTGGATCTGAAGCTTCGATGGTAAAAGCTACAGACTTGTTCTGCAGCACTGAGATAAACACAGCGTCGTTTATTCAGATCCTGAAAATGTTAGATTCACGTTTTCCAGTTGTGACGTCGCACTGAGATCGCTTTAATAACATCTCTGATCATGACACACTTGCATTTTGCCCGCGGCCCCTAAAGTTCCTTAAAACGCTCCTGTGTAAATCCTCTTTGTGTGTGTGTGTGTGTGTGTGCACAGCTGCAGCTTCGGTGCCGCAGCAGAGAAACCTGTCCCCTTTCCGGTTCCGTCCCCTCTCTGCAGCCCCAGAGGGACTCGTCTCTGCTGACACACGCGGCCGGCAGCCTGTAGCGTGGCCCCTGCCAAGTCCCCGTCCAACGGCCAAGCTCTGCACAGATGCTCTGGCAAACGCCGAGGGGACGACCGGCAGACCCAGTGCGGAGCTGCGATAGCACAGTCACAGTCACTTCGTCTGCCAACAACAACAAACCAGCAGGAATTTGTGTTGGTGCCAGCGAAGCGGACACGTAGGAACAGTGGAGCAACATCACCTGAAGAACTGTGTCAGATCAGATCAACACTAGAATGTGATGATGAATATAAATTCTCTGAGGCTGGGATGAAAAGAGTTAATAAGGAACCTGTGGGTCTCACTGGACGACAGTGGACGACCAAAATAACTTCTGGTCCCCGTTAATTTGTGCACAATGGTTATTGAGATATTTAACTTCTTACTGCAGCTTTAACGCTGAGGTCGTTTAACAGGTGGAGAAAAGACTGCGAGAGGAGACATGCAACAGAGGTCAAAGGTCAAATCAAACCTGTGTAGTCCAACTTTACATCACACAAACATGAGGATGACGATGAGCGGTTCTTTTGAGATGTAAAATAGATTTCAGATCACATCTCTGAATCTTAACCTCGTTTTAAATAAACAGGAACAAATGAAGAAAAGCTTCTTGTTGCTGTCACCATCATGTTTTCACTGTAGTATGAACAGCATGAAGCATCATCTATCTATCTATCGACCTGTAGCTCTCCATCTTTGAAGAATATTAAGCATAAATATTTAATATAAATTCAAATGATTTCTCTCCGGCTGTAAATCTGCTCCAGCTTCCAGACACAACGTGGTTCTTCTTGTACGAAGCTTGTGGGCAAACACTTGCTGCGCCTCCGAGATGAAACTGGAAGGCCCCTCGGACAAGTGCATCGTGGCGGCTTTAGCAGCTGGACAGTAAGAGAACAACGTTCCGAGAGACTCGCATAAAGAAAATCAACCGAAACCTATAAAATCCTGCAGCGGAAACGACGCCCTTGACCCGTCCTGACAGGCGGAGCGAGAGAACGCCATCAGACGGGTCAGAGAACATGGGTCAGCTTCACCTGCGGGATTAGCTCCTCGTGTTAATATTGAAAGAATGGAAACTGAAGATGGGAGCGGTGCTGCATCCGTAATGAGATTTCCAGACTTCACACAGCCACTTCCTGCTCCTCTGCCCCGACACTCACCCACACACACTTCAAATAGAGGCTCGAACACAACGTATGAAATGAGTAAGCAGTGTGTCAGGTTTCCTCTGGTTCGTCCACTCACACACAGAAGCATTCATCACATGAGAGGAAGAACAACATTCTGATTTCAGGAGTTTTGAAGAAGCTATTTCAAAACTGAATTATTATCCAAGAACAGAGTCCAGAGCCTTATCGAGAAGATTCAGAGATTTCACCAAAAATGTTGTAATATTGTGAAAATAGCATATAAATATTTTATATTTATTCTCGTAATATGGAAACTTTATTCTCATGATATTAAAACTTTATTCTCATAATATTAAAACTTTATTTAAATATAGATTTAATTCATAGATATTACAACTTCATTTTGCAAATCTTAGATGGGAATAGTAATACTCCATCGCATTATGCAAATAAAGAAAGAAATAAAAAAGTTAAGAGACAGACAAACAATCCTGCTTCTGAATTATGACAAACTAATGACTCTGGTTTCCTCCGACAGCAGCAGAACTGTATGTGGCTTATGTACAGATTGAGTTGGAGGCTTAGACTATAGGGCAAAGGATGAACTAGAGGATTTACCATTTGATCTGCCTGCATTATTTTTGATTATATGACACAGCCGCGCTGAGAGAAGGGAAAGCTCACAGGTGTTATTTAAAATTACAGACTCTACTGTTCTGTAAAAGGATTGCAGGAGAGTCGCTGCTGCTCCGCGTTCAGACAAAAAGTAAAAGATTCAATCTCGTCACAAGAGACAGGACGCATCGAGCCTGAAGAGACGTTCAATCTCTGAAGAGAAAATCCAATTTGTGAACGTGCTGAATTGAAACTGGACGCAGGCCAACGTCCCGACGTTCGACAGCACCTCAGGGCTGAGCGACAAAAAGAAAAGGATTTCAGAGAACCATCCCGGCTCTCCTGACCTCCACATCTC